CTGGTAAGGCCTGGCCCCCAGCCCTCTTTCTCTTCCCTGCAGTGGGTGGGCAGACAGGTTCCCTGAGGGGGAAATGGCACACTCTGCCAGGCCTCTTAGGCATTTTCTTCTAACATCAGCTCAGCTTTGTGCATGCTGACAGGGCCTGGGCCCAGAGCCCAGCCCGGTGGGGAAAACTGGCTTTCCCACAGCTGGGGGCTGGGGCAGAGAGGGCAGGGGGCCAGCCCGGGGGTGGTGCTCAGAAATGTGGCAGAGTCCAGGGATGGGGTCCTACCCTGGCTTTACCAACGGAGGGAGGGGAGAAATGGGCATTTTTATTTTTCTCCTCCAGCCCATTCAGTTTCCCTCTGAAGACAGCTTCTCATAGAGTGCCCAGGATGCAAAGCCTTTCACTGGGTGCCCCCAAGTGGTCTTTTGGGGAAGCGCACCCATTTCACAGTTACTGCCGGATCCAACTGAATTGCTAACCTGAGAGGCTAGCGCATTGCCGCCATGTTAGTGATAAAACTGAGCCTCGGATGAGGTCAAGGGACTCCTATGTGCTCTTTCTGCCCTTGAGTTGTGGGATGACTTGTCTCAGCCCGAAGTGACAGTACCAGCTTTTGAACCAAGGTCTCTTCTGGGTGAAAGTCAGTCCATGTCCCTGTCCTGCAGCCTCTCTAGGAAGCCCTTTCTGGGTTGAAAGGGCATGGAGGGGTCCCTTGGTCCCATTCTTGATCTGACGCTTACATCATTTGTCATCCCCTCCCGTGCAAGTTATCAATCTCTGCTTGGGCACTTCCAGCCATGGTGGAATCACGACCTCGCAGAGCATCTACAAGAGCTCTGGACCGCTGTCGGCAGTGGTATATCGTAGCGGGGAGGGGACAGTTACGGCCACTGAGGGCAGAAGGCAGACCGGAGCTAGAGATGCTCCCCCGTCTCTGGGGAGGTGGGAAGGCACAGAGGCGCAAGGGTGAACACCGGTCCCCCGTGGCAGCACCACCAGCCAGCCAAACAGCCTGCAAGATTTTGAGGTGATGCCGCCTGTCCTGCTGGAGGCTGGCCTTTCACGGGTTCCCAGATGAGGGTGATGGGAGGCAAAGCCTCCGGCTGCAGGGCTCACTGAGGGTAGTGACAAGTGCAAGCCCTTGGTCTCCTTGCCTGAGTCAGTGATTCCTGCGCTGCCTGCCCACAGAGCCTGCTGGAGAAAAGCGGTAAAGCCCTGGGAAGGAGAAAGGGCAGTGTGGAGCTGCCCTTCCCCTGGCTAGGAGCTGTCATTTAGATTAAATGTGCACAGGCTTCTGGCCCGTCGATACCCAGAGGAGTGGTCCGGGAATCTTGTGCTAGGCCTGCATGGGAAGGCAGTGGCTGCCGCCTCCTGCCAGGCCTTGGGGGAATCATGGATCTTCTCTGAGCTGTGTTCTCCTTGACTTTAAGGGTTCTCCCCAAATGGGCACATCCCCTCTTCTCTGCTCCCACACACCCTCTGACCTGAGGCTGATCATGTTGCTGTCTCCATGTTCAGGTCATCTCTGGAGTAGGAGCATGCCCATCAGTGGTTAGGAGCATGGCTGGTGGCAGGGACAGAGTGCATCAGGATGCTGTCTGGGAGGCTTACAGGCCAACCTATCCTGAAGGCTGGGCATGTGGGGGCCCTCCCCAGGCACTGATGTTTGCCTCCTTCCCCAGGACCACGGATCAGCCCTGGCACCTGACCCACCAAACACTGCCTCCTCTACAACATTCCACAGACTGCCCAGGCAATGCCTGAATTTCCCCAACAGTGCCGAACTGGTTCTATCTGATACATATAGCTCTGACCATAACAGAGTTCTTCCCAAATAGGCGGAAATCTCTTTTCCAGAGCTTCTACCCACTGGACCTTGTTCAGCCCAACAGACCCACAATAAGCACATCCAACCCTTCCACAAGGGCAACTGTAAAAGAATACAAAAGAGTCATTCTACCTCTTGCCAACTCAGTAGCAGCCAGCACATGGCGCTGCACCCTTTGCACCCAGGACCCTTCCGCAGGCCACGTTCTAGTTTGCTGTGTCTCTCAAAGTACAGGAAACTGAACAGACGGCATCAGACTACATGCTGTTAGAAATGGAAGTTTCATGCCACAGCTGATCCGTGGTCCTGGGGAAGGAGGCAAACATCAGTGCGTGGGGAGGGCCACCACAGCACCTGAGCCTGGGACAAAGTCAGTACACAGTACGCGCTGAATGAAAAGAACATAATGGTGCTTGGCACAAAGACCCATGAGTATAAGAAACTGGCACACAGTCAGCAAGTGGCTTCAGCACTGGGACAGCCCCCTACCCTTGTGGTGCCTATCTCCTCCCAGGCCCCGACGCCACCGGGCAGAGTCATGTCGTCAGTCCCCAACTGACACTTCCAGACTGGGAGCCAACTAGGTGTGCCCTTGAATCCAGGCAGAAGAACACCTTATGCGCCAGAGGCAGAATTCAACTAGCAAACCAAGGAATTAAAGTCCAAAAGGGAGATTAAACAATGAGACAATTCTGACCTGATTTACGGCAGCAGCTGCTACTTACTGCTCTCAAGAGGCAAAAGCCTCAGAGGTTCTCACGCTGACATCTAAAAGATGACCCAGACAACCACAGTCACGCATAATCCTTACCAGGGGCATGCTTGTAGCAATGTACACAGTGAGCCCAGCTCTTCCCTTCCCGATCCTTTTTCTTCAAGGGTTCATTATAAATAATAGCCACCATCTACTGAGCACTTACCATGTGCCAGGCACTGTGCCTAGTGCTTTCATATACAACTTCAGTTAATCCCCATGATCCTTTAAGACAGAAACAACTATATTTACAGATGAGAAAACTTGTATCCAAGGTTAAGCAGTAAGCAGGGGAAGGCAGGATTAGAACATAGGCCTCTAAGGGCTTCAGGCCTATGTTTCTAACCACCATTTGCTATGCTGTTTCAAGATCCTGGGGCCCTGTGACCTCCTCCTTGCTTAGGAGGCCAGCGATGATGTGGTTGTTTTCCTGGTCCCTGGGCCTCTGTTCCAAACTCATCACCTCTCTTGGGTCTCCACTACAGGGTGGTACCTGAGGCTCTGAAATGCCAAGTCCTTCAAGCATGACAGAGAGTTGCTTTATTATTAAACGGAACTGTCCCCTGGGAAAGGGCAACTCTCCACCTCTACCCCAAAACACAACCCTCCTAGAGGAGGGGAAGTTTTCCAACTACCTCGCTTCCAACTTCAATCTCCAACCTCAACTGCTCGCCATTAAGGTTGTTTCTTCTTTTCTACTAATAAAACAGTTAAGACAATTCTGTCCATTTTGTTTTATTTGTTAAATTGCTAAAAAGTCATTGGGGAAAACCTCAACAAAAAATGAAATTGACAGATTTAAATATCAACGAAGTCCACTTTTCATTCCTACACTGTAACGTGCCTAAAATGACCACCTCAGGGTAAGCCGCCAGGGACCCCTGAGTTGTATGGGAAACATCACTCACAGCACCAGCTTCGCCAGGGCACGGCAGGTGTGTGCGGACATGAACCCTGCTTGGTGGGAAGGGAGCAGAGCGAGGAAAGAGAGCAAGGGTGGAGCCAAGGCCTAAGGGTTGCTCTCATATGACAATGAACACAGTGAGAGGGAGCCACTTACTGGTGACCATGCAGAACATGCCTTCTGCAGTTCGTGGGGAGGCTGCCCAGGACGCAGGCCTCAAAGTTCGGCTTCCTTGGCCCTGGGTGTGTTCAGATCCTCCCCACTGACTTGTGCGCTGGTAAGAGAGCACAGACAATGCAAAGCAGAGCCCATCACCATGCCAGGGTCCCCACAAGGACAAGGACAAGGACAGACAGACAAACCCACAGGAACATCACTTTTAAGGGGAAGCAAAGAAGCAAAGCAGAAGGAAACCCAGAAAGATAAAGTTAGAGGAAAAGAAGTATCCCTCTGTTCTCCATCAGCTGGTGGCCTTCTGTTCTCCAAGCCAGGACTTCTCAAGTTGGTTTTCTTTTGTTGTCCTCTTCATTTTAGAGAGTTCCAACACAGTTCCTGGGACAGTTCGTGGTTTTAGCTCTTGATATAAAACTCAAACATTAAAATAAGATCAATCCGCAGAGGGCTAGGAGGAGAGGAAGGCCAATGTTACCCTTACAACTAAATTTAAGCTTGTTTCGACACCTAATTTGTGCTCCTAAAATACAGAACTGTGTGTGTGGGGGCGGGGGGTGTGAAGGGGTGTTTGTGCAGTGCACCACCCATGTTTAGAAGGGTAGAAATGTGAACGGAAATACAGAACCCTCTCTGCTGCCCAGCCTGCAAGGTGAGAAAACAGAAGCTCTGTCCAAGAGGGAAGGAAGACACCGAGATTCTCACAGGAGGTCCCCAAGGTGGCCGGGGATGTCCATGTGACAGTGAGGCTCTCAAAGGCACACTTGCAGGAATGGAAGGGGTTAAAGCTTCAAGTAGAGACAAGATGTATTTTAAATACTTCAATACTGACAAATATTTGCTAATTTAGGTGCTCCTGAAGGCCAAAGAAATTTTTTGTCTCATTTTTCTCAGTGAATTGTTAAGACAAAATTGTTATCCCGTCCAAACCAGAGCTGTAGTTAAACGTGCCCTCACAGAAGCACCCAGGGTGCTGGTGGACGCTCTCCGCACATGGGACACCTGAAGTTCCCCTGCACGCATGGCTTCACAAGGGTCTGAGGACACGACCACCTTGACCGTGTGGAGTCATTCTCCTAAGGTATCTGCCCACAGCGCCCAGGAGCCACCAAGACCAAAACCACCAGGTGCAGATGAGGCAGATTTTTCTTAAGGAGCTGTAAACACAGTCTGGTTCCAAGCGGTCTCAGTAATACTGGGTGCCCCAGAGTTCCAAGGAGCCAGTTACTTTCCAAGGGCATCATCACCTCCACTGCTTGCCTGTCTGGGGCAAATAGAGGGAATCCACAAGCCAATAGCTGGCTGAGGGAGGACACAGGACAAAGGGAATGGTCACAAAGTTGAGATTCTGAACTCTCAGGCTTCCAAATACTTTATATTTAAATAGGAACTGAGTTTGGGGATGCTGTCCATGCACATATGCAATGTCATAAACAAAGTTCAGCAATAGCAATAATGTAATACCTAATTTTACAGGCTAAGCTTTCTCTTGTGAGTAAGGACCCCACATGATCTAACAGTCTTTGCCGAAGAAGGACCAGCAACAGCCCAGGAGCAAGGTGTCTAGCAAGCTAAGTGCTGAGCTAGGAGTAGGTGGACACCATAGTAAATAGGCACATGGTAGTTTCATCATCTAAGGGAACAGTTTCTGGAACACAGACCTCTCCCTGTGATCTGGCCCTTTCCTGGGCTTGGCACCAGAGGGGCTTTCCCACCAAGACCACATTGTAAAAGCTAATGGCTAGGGGAAAGAATTCAACATGATGTAATAGGAGAAAACACACTTATCAGACAGACTGCTAAGAGTTGGCCAAAAGCCAGGACCCAAGGCCAGCTGTCGGCAGGCTTCTGCTTGGGAAATGCTATTAAGAAAAACGGGAGTGTGAAAGATGGGAAATGCAGTGTTTTAAAATTCAAATCCTAAAGGCAAAGTAAAAATCTTTCCACGGATGAGAAATTACCAAAAATTAAAGTGGTGCCATTTGACTTACTCTAACATCTTCTAGGCTCAGGCCATGGTTTACAGACTGGTAATTTGTAACTTCCTATATCAACCAAAGAAATGCTCTAGTTCGTTGCACTTTATCTCAGAAATGGCGTGACATAAAAACCCAACCTTTATTTGGGTCACATGTGAAAGAGACAGTCACAAAGGAGGGGCCGCTCCTGAGGTGAGCCTTGCATCAAAGAGCTAAGCACCCGACACTCAACCCAATCAGTAGTAGTCAACAGCCAGGCAGAAAAATGCATGTCGCAACAAGGGCAGAAATCACTTCTAGAAGGAAGTATTACTGAGATTACCTTTCAGGATCAATTTCCACATTGTATAAATATGGATGGGTGTGCCCAACGTGCTTTGGAAGTAAAAAGAAGCCCAAAGGGAAAAAACAGTATTTTTTGATGCTTTAAGGATTTCTCATGATACTGACATCTTGGAATTCCCTACCAGGCCCCCTAAGTGATACCAGAGAAGGGGTTCCAAAAATATCTCTAGGAGATTTCCCTAGGCACCTTAGCTTTGTAAAAGAAACAGAAAGTGAGAAAGCTTTCAGGGCTTAAAAAAAAAAAAAAAAATCCACATATGCCAAAAAAAAAAAAAAAAGGAAAAGGCAGCTTCTGAGGATCAAGTTTTAAGGGAACAAATGTGGTTTTTGGCAACTTGCAATCAAATACGATTGTCAGAAAATTCCAAAATCAGACACCAATATGTTTTCTGAGACACGGAGGGAGCACGCTAAAGACCAGTGGACACTAGGTGGACAGGCGTCCCTGTATAAACACTGCCTCACGGTGATCCTGGCACACACACGTGGAACAGAATTCCTGGCTGGGTAACTTTCCTCAGTCCCAAGGGCAGAGGGCATGACCTCAAAGAGAAGTCTGCATAGGTCCCGTGTGGTTTTAAAAGGAAGAGAGGAAGAGTTCTCTACAGGCTCCTTTCACCCTGCCAGCTCCTGGAGCCCGAGGATCGGGAGGCTCCACGTGTACACCTTACACACGCTCTTTCTCTAACTCCAAGAAGGCCACATAAAGATTTACGGGGGCTCTTCAGTTGCTTTAGATAAATTCTGACATTAGTCTGTTCCCTAAATTCTGGGTCTAGTTACCAGCAAAGTAGAAAAAGGCAGCACAGCCTCTGCTAAAACACAGCAACAAATTTATCTGAACCAGGATGGAGACGTCTCCCTCTCTGTAAACAGAGTTGGCTATAGAATATATATTTATAGATTTATATATAATTTTTTTCTTAATGGAGATTTTATCCCAGCCTGGAGTGAGTGAGGTTGGGAACTGGGGTTTTGGTTTATGGGAGTATCTGTCCTTTGTTTTCCCAATTCTCAGTCCAAATGCTTGCACGCTGGAAAATTAAAAGCCACAGAAAGGGAAAGGGGTTTAGAACACATTATCTCTTTGCTCGCACAAAGTACAAGGCGTTTGTTTTTGGATAGTACTTCACATTCTGTTTCTTGTCCATGAGTCCTCCAAATATGATGAGTTCACCCCTGCCTTGGACCACTGTATGCAGGCTGGTTTCAGGAGGTCCGACCACAGAACTGCTGTTAAATACTTTCCATTTGACCCGCCCCTTCTCCTTGGTGTCTTTAATGTCTAGCACGTACATCTGCATGGGCTTGCAGTTCATACTCTGGTACAAAGGTTTGCCAACATTTAGGGACTGAGGAGGGTGGTGGCCCAGGCGGCGAGCAATGGGAGGTAAGGAATGTCCATCTCCTTGGGCAGGTCCTGGGCGGGGAACGGGCACTGTTTCTCCACTGCTCAGGTTCTGGCTCCCAGGAGAGCCTGGAGAAGACCCCAGAGGAGGACTTAGTGCTGCGGAGGCTGAAGGGCCTTTGGATGACATTGCTTTGATGGCTTCTAGGCTCCGACGCAGGGCACCTGGGGAGACAGCTCCTGCAAGGGCACTGGCCACATGTGGCGGGGTGTGCACACCATTTGTCTGTTCAGGAGGATGTCTCATGCTTCCCCCAACTGTCCTGTTGTCCACACCATCCATATGATTGCTACTCGGTGCGGGTTTCAGATCCCAATTCAGATCTATGGATCCTAACCTCAGATCTTTCTGATCCGGTAGTGACCCTCGTCGGGGGGCCAGAGAAAGTCCCATTTTGAGGTCATATCCTTCAGTGGTAGACGGAGTGCTAGGAGATACAGCCTGCACAGGGCTGTCCAACGAAGAGCCACCTATAGCTGCTGTTCCTGGAGACAAATTCCCACCATTGAGGATGGGAGAGCCATCTCCTCTGGCTGGGGAAAGGCTCCCTTCCCGGGAACTTGAGGGGGTCTGCCTTTGAGCTCTGGGTCTCAGTGTTCCCCAGCGGCCGTTAACACAAGGGGCTTCATCCATACTCCTTACTGGAGAGTGAGAGCGGTACTCTCGGGTTTCAGGAACCAGGGCTGGAGGAGTGGCACTGATAGGCGATGGGCGGGAGTTCAAACTGGGGCTGAGTGGGGCTCTCCCACTAGGAGCCTGGCTGAAGACCACCACACACTGCCCCACCTGGGAGACAAAAGACCTATGTTCAGTTCTGATCATTCATTTAATATCAAACATTTTATTTTATTTATTTATTTTTAAAGATTTTATTTATTTATTGAGAGAGAGAATGAGATAGAGAGAGAGAGCACATGAGGGGGGGAGGGTCAGAGGGAGAAGCAGGCTCCCCGCTGAGCAGGGAGCCCGATGCGGGACTCGATCCCGGGACTCCAGGATCATGACCTGAGCCGAAGGCAGTCGCTTAACCAACTGAGCCACCCAGGAGCCCATAACATCAAACATTTTATTATGAGCACCAGGGCAGGCCAGGCATTCTGTAGGTACTGGAGACACAGAGGTGAAAATAATGTAGTCTGCCTTCTAGGCTAGACGGGGAGACAGACATAGGAACAATATATGGCTGAAGCATGACAAGTGCTATCATTAGAAGTATGTCTGCAGGATAGGGGTGGGGTGGAGAGAGGAATCAGTTTCTGTTTGGGGACCCTGAGGAAAGGTTCACAAAGAGATGTTTAAGGCTGGCACTGAAAGGACCAGTGGTGGGGGCTCCTTGCTGACCCAGTCAGTGGAGCGTGCAACTCTTGATCTTGGTGTCAGGAGTTCGAGCCCCACCGCTTGGCACGGAGATTATATAAATAAATAAATAAACCTGGGGCTCCTGGGTGGCTCAGTCGGTTAAGCCTCTGACTTTGGCTCAGGTCATGATCCTGGGGTCCTGGGATAGAGCCCCAAAGTGGGCTCCCTGCTCAGGAGGGAGCCTGCTTCTTCCTCTCCCTCTGCCATACCCAACCCCGCCCCCCTCCCCTGCATGCTCTCTCAAATAAATAAATATACTTAAAAGAAAAAAAAGGGATCAATGGGGCTCACACAGGTTTCCCATCTAGAGGTTCACATATAAGCAATGCCCAAGGAGCAATGGTTAATGTCCACTTCTTTTATGATATATCAAGGTGTTTTTATTTCCATACAAGTTTGCTTGGAAATCTGACGAGCCAATTTGGCTTTACAGTCAGTGCCCTGCTTACCCGACAAGCTGGGTGGCACCACAGTTCTGGGGCCCCATGGTCTTCATTTTCTACCTTGAGTGGCTGCCAGGCCCAGGGGCCCGAGTGCATGTGCAACAACCAAGCATCCTTGAAGAGCTAGAAGAGAAGGACCAACACCAGGACTCAGGTGAGGTACGCTACAAAACACATACACATACTGGGAATCCCAAAGCTGGGCTGTCTGGTCTAGAGAATGTGTAGGCTCTTCAGAAAGAATAGCAACACTTGTGGTCACTCATTCACTCATGCCCTCATTCATTCACACACTACCACCGGCCCAGAACATGCGATTGTGCTTGTAACCCATGAATCAACTGTAAGTGGTTTTGAATTTTGCCTGTGGTTGTGTGTGTGTGTGTGTGTGTGTGTGTGTGTGTGTGTCTGTGTGTGTTGGTAGGGGAGAGGGTAGATAATACATATCTGCAACTTTCTGAATCTGCATTCTTAAATAAATTCCATGTAAACTCTGGCAGTTATCAGCCTATTTTTCTGTCCCATCCCTCCCTGAAAGAAACAATAGCAGCAAACCTTACAGCCTACAGAGGAAGTGGGAGTAGGAAGAATACAGATATAGATATGAATATTTAAGAGACAAATGTCTCTGATTTAAAGCACCTCTCACCCCACAGGGGGGGAAAAAAAGGAAAAGAGACAGAGCAGAGTTTGGCCAGAAAATACCACAGCTATATACCCAAAGTGAAAAAGGTACTCTCTCAATAAAAAGGACGTCATGCTCACAAGGTGAGACAAGGGAGCAAGTTTTGAACCCTTAGCATGTGCCTTGTAATGCCACACCAGCAATACTCACAGCATTGGGACCGCCACACCCTCCAAGGATTAAGATAGTTGCATCATCTATGACAATCTGGGGAGAGGAAGACATTTAAAATAAACCTACAAAGACACAGGCATCTGATCTCCTATGCGTCAGTGGTATATGAAAATAGCCTACCCAGAACCCAAATTAAGAGTATTCCAGTCACCATAAACTCTCCATTCTCCCAAAACCATGTCAATTCCAATCCTTGTGAACAAATTACTGATGATTCACCTGAATGGATATATTCCTTGTTGATCAAACATTAACGTGAGCGTACATAAAGTGCAGGGTTCTCTTGAGAAATGAAACAGCAAAGTAAATGCTTTGGGGAGAGGCATAATATAAAGGCACTAAAAATAAATACAACCCATTAGAAGTTGAAAAATAAATACCAGCAAAAAAGAACGACAAAGTCTCTTTGGCTTATTCATGTTGGCAGCTTACCTGACTCCCTCCTCCCTTTCCCATCCTAACCGGAAGATGCTACAGTGTTTGCTGAATAGTTATTTTAATTCCTGAGCACCTGAGATTGGCCACCTCGAGGATGAGGACTGGGGCCGGAGATGTTCGGCTTGGACCACGCCCACTGCTCGAGGTCAAGGACCCAGACATCGTTGCTCCTATAAGATAAGGACATAAGGTTGAAGGAGTTGGGAGCTCCCAGGGACCACAGAGCTGATATAAATGAAGTTACATTTATATTTTATTTATTTTTTAAGTTATTATTTTTAGGTAGGCTCCATGCCCAACATGGGGATTGAACTCATGACCCTGAGATCAAGAGTCGCACGCTCTACCAACTAAGCCAGCCAGGTGCCCCTGGAAGTTACATTTATAAAGATGCCCGGCAAAATGCCATGGTCAAAGCTTTTTTTTTTTTTTTTACTATTATAAAAGCTTATTTAACAAAAAAGTTCAATATGAAAACGCACACGACCTGATTTTTATATCATAGTAAAACAGGTACTATGGAGGGGACATGTGGAAGCAGTTGATTTCTTCTGATGAACACACCCATTGTTTATACTCGCTCCAAGGCGTCTAACATGATGACACTATGTCCTTGTGTTACCACCATTCCAGTATCATTCTATGGCCCACGAGTTGCCATCTCCACACATTCATCTATCACAAGATTCATAAACAGATCGAACCCCCACAATATTCCTTGGACATGTCTGCCACCATTTAATTTCAATGACAATTTCTTGTCCATAAATTTTTTCAACTCGGGAGGGTGAGCTTTGCTCATGGTGTCTACTCGGCGAGCTCAAAGATGCCTCCAAACGGAATTCGTGGCGTCCCTCATGCTCTGGTCATAGCATCCTAAACTATATTTTTCTTCCCCTCCTTTCCCTGGAGCCCATCTCAAGACCTTCAAACCTTTGCTCTTCCCACTGACCCATAAAGCCTCTCTTGAGTCATGTCTGCAGCCACATACTAGTACCTGAAGTACGAGTGAACCAGTGTTAGCAGGAAATAGCTACTGGTCAAGACACAGCCATTCAAAAGCAAAAACCACAAGGAAGAGAAAAAACTGATGTAAACGGTAGCTCTATCACTGTCCAGGAGATAAAGATTTATCGATTCTGGCTGCAAAAAGTAATTTCACCATGGCTAATGAGATCTGCAGTTTTATCAAGGGCAAACTGGCATCTCCAACCCTCAGGGGACCAGTATGGCAAGGACAGACTACTGGAAGGCAGCCTCTATTTTACCATCACCTCGCTAAGGTCATTTACTCATACAGAGGAACACAGGAATAAGAACTCTAATACTGTAAAGACCTAAACTTTCTCATCCGGGGGGGCAGCTCAGTCTCTCCACAACTGTTTTGAAATAGGAAGATGGGGAATACCTTGTCTAACAGAGAAGAGAGTTGGGTCTGGAATGCTTTTACTGTTGACAGCTCATCAACTTCCCTCTCATGACCATCAATGCAGCTACCATCAACTCAGATAAAGAGTGATTCCGATGGATTGCTCTTGCCCTTGCCTCTGGCCTGAGTTGGACAGTTGTGGCCAGAGATGGTAAGGACAGTAGGTAGGGAGCACAGCCTCACAGAAGTGCATCGGACCTGACAGTTTTCTCACTCCTACCCACTCCCCCAACCCATCTCATTTGGAGAATGAATCATTTACAACCTGCCCTGTCAATCTACCTCTCTTCTATAAAGCCCGAAAGGGCACAGGCTGAGACATAAAGGAGAGAGCAAGTAAAAGCACTCTGTGCTTCTTAGAAGGTGGCCTTCTGTGGGCACAGGTAGAAACAAACAAGGTGGAGGCTATATAAGAATTTGATCCCACCGAATGAACCACATACCAAATAAAAAGATTCTACACATCTCTGATTTTGTGGAGGAAGTTTTCCAACCTGTTGCTCTGTGATTAGGGGATCAAAAACTAGAATGCTAGGAAGCAACAACTGGTTGGATCAACCAGAACCAGGCTGAGGAATACTGACCTGACTAGTTCACTCTTCCGACCTGTTATCCCCAGGAGTATTTACCTTCAGGTCGATAGGCAGCAAACCAAATATACTTACATTTGCCGGGATCCTAAGGAGCCACCGAAGACAATCATTTTATCATCTATCACACAGGAGGAATGGCCAGCCATTGGAGGTGGCCCATGGGTTGTCACAATGCAGTTCCACCTAATACAAAAAGAGAGGAGGAAGCCAGCAAGTCAGCACCACCTGTATCTGGTCTTACGTGTTTAAGGTGGAAACAGTAAGTAGGAATGCCTTTAAAATGACAATCCTATCACCTTCAGTAGAGATACTGTTAGGATAATAAATGGAAGATGGCAGAAGGTATTACGCCTTTCCTACAAACCTGCTAAAGCTATGCTCACTTTCAAGTTCTCAGTGTGTATGGCTTAGAGGTGGAGTGTAGAGGTGACCAGAGACGCCATCATGACTCCTTGGCTGCTTCAGCCTAATGTGCTAAAGAAGCACCACCTTCCACTTCTTTCTACAGTCCTGATCAGACGCAGCTGCCAAGAGCCCTGTACTAAGTAGTCCATTACAAGGAAAAAGGAAAAAGAGCGTCAGGAATCAGTCTTCGAGACATAGCAGGGAACAATGAATCATCTGGATCCACAGCACACCTGAGGAATGAGCAGCCAAAACTGAAGAGCCTCTATTCTCCAAATGGCACATTTATTTTTCTAGGAAGTGGAATAAACCTCTTCCACTTCTTCTCTTTGGAACAGGGGTTCTTAGCTTTAGTTTATTTTTTTTTAATTCTTTTTTTTACCTTTTAAAAAAACTTCTTTAAATGTAAGCTCTACACCCAACATGGGGCTTGAACTCACAACCTGGAGATCAAGAGCCACATGCTCCACCAACTGAGCCAGCCAGCCGCCCCGTAGCTTTAGGTTTTAAGGGGGTCCTGTAAACTTTCTGAAACTGTCAGCAAATCTGTGCATATGTAAATTTGTTTCCCGGAAAGAGTCCAGAGCTTTTACCAAATTCTCAGAGATGCCTGGACACAAAAAAGGTAAGTCGTCCATTCATCTGAAATCTTTTATTAGATTTCAAGGATTGAAAGGATCTTATCTTTGTGGCTTACCAGTTTTTAGAAGGTGAGTAAGTGTGTATTTCATCAAAGAATCTCTCTGGTTGGTGTAGGGGATACGGGCTTGGCCGCGTCCAGCCACCAAACAGCACCAGTAGGTCCTTGTACACGACCAGAGTTGCTCCAGCTTTAGGGGAAGGATAGGACCCTAGGAAAGGTCAATAACATCATGGTTAGGATTCAGGGTCTCACAAGCCATAGGCAGGTTGTCTACAGATCACCGTTCCCTGAAAGAATCACAAAAGGGGAACCAATATTATAAAACATAAGGGAAAGGGGGAGAACAAAACTGGTTTGAAGTCTGACAGAAAACCATCACCAATTTATACAACTTTTTTTTTTTTAATATTGATACACAATGTTATTTTAAGTTTCAGGTATACAACATAGTGAATCCACAAGTTTATGCATTATGCTAAGTTCACCACAAGTGTAGCTACCATCTGTTGCCATACATCACTATTATAATATCACTGGACTTATACATCGTTTATAATTAAAAGAGAGAAACCTGAGTTAGAGGAAAGTTACTTATTTTGCTTACCTGAAATTAGGGATGAGAGTACCTATCTCATAAGGCTGTTTTGAGTATTAAAGAATACATCTGAGGGGCACCTGGGTGGCTCAATCAGTTAAGAGCCTGCCTTCGGCAGGATCCTGGGAATCAAGCCTCACGTTGGACTCCCTGCTCAGTGGGGAACCTGCTTCACCCTGTTCTCCCCTGCTCGTGCTCACTGTATCTCTCTCTCTCTCAAATAAATAAATAATCTTAGGGGCGCCTGGGTGGCTCAGTTGTTATACGTCTGCCTTCGGCTCAGGTCATGATCCCAGGGTCCTGGGATCGAAACCTGCATCGGGCTCCCTGCTCCATGGGAGGCCTGCTTCTCCCTCTCCCACTCCCCCCGCTTGTGTTCCCTCTCTCGCTGTGTCTCTCCCTGTCAAATAAATAAAATCTTTAAAAAAATAAAAAATAAATAAATAATCTTAAAAAAAAATAAAAAATACACCTGAAGCACATACACAGTGCCTGGCACAAAGCAGGTGTTCAATAAATGTTGACTCTCTTGCCCATCCCTTTAATCAGCTTACTAGAACCCACACAGGAAAAGAATGTAAGGAATCTAGCGAGTACACATACAGGCTAGTACATGGATGCAGCATAAAAACGGCTGCTGTTAGCAAACCTGGGTAAAACAGGTGGCAGCCTGGAGTTCTCCAATGTGTCGAGTCACACGTTAGCATGGTGACCTCTAGGCCTCTAGCTGTGGGCCTCACTAGCACAAATGGGGGCAGAATTTCAGGCTCAGTATGAAGGCATTCCAACAGAGCTGCAGGCCTGATACCAGCAGTGTCTATTAAGGCCATCCAGGCTGGACTTCTGAGCTATGTTGACCAAATCTTGAAACAACAGAAATATGGCTTATGCTAGAAAACCTTAGGGATAACAAATGTCACATAGAAGCAGGATTTTTCAGAGCCTTTTCTGTCTTTTAAATAACAATTGCTATTTCTCCCAATCTCTTACTCTACGTGCCACATTCAGTTTGCTAAAGATCAAAGAAATTTGTCTCAATACCCAGGTGTCAGTAAATACTGTAATATTCAAGAAAAAAAATTTTTGTTACCACCGCAGGATCCATTAAAAAAAAAAAAAATCTTAAGCAGAAAGCATCCCAACAGTATATTAAGCTAATAGCAGCTGAGGTGCTCCCATTCAGGTAAAGAGCTGGGCCCCTCCCCTTCAGCAAGGGGTTTTGGGAACATGGTTTGAAAACCCCTCTTAGACTGCTTTAATGGTGTTGATGACGAAGTCTCAAGGCTGAAAAAGTGAGCAAGTGGCTGTCTTCCTTGGGCTCCAACTTAACAGGAACTTCCATGATCTACTGGGAAGGTACCAATCCTCAGACAGTGGAGTGAGCATCTAAGAGTACTATGTGGCATCAGCTATTTTGAGCACTCTCCTAACAGAACAGACATCAATCCAAACAGGATCTGACCAAAGAAATGAGTTTTCTCTAGGAATGATTCTGCTGTCAATGAGCAGCACTGACTGAGGGAATATTGGTTGAGGTACTCCATGAGCTTGCTCCTGCTACCCTCATACACTTCTGGAATCATGACTAAGGGGGCTGTTGTCCTTCACAGAGTCTTGTGATCTCTACTGAAAACTTTTGCCTTCCCATAGGACACCTGGGTGGCTCAGTCAGTTAAGCATCTGCCTTTGGCTCAGGTCATGATCCGAGGGTCCTGGAATTGAGTCCCACATCGGGCTCCTAGCCCAGCAAGGAGCCTGCTGGTCCCTCTGCTTATGCTCTCTCCATAAACAAAATTAAAAACAACAAACAAACAAACAAACAAAACCCTTGCGTTCCCAGGAGGAAGCCTCCTAGAAAACTTAACTAATATAGTGGTCTAGTTAAAATGCTAGTATTTCCCCAAAATGATTTAATTTGTGAAATACCAAACAATGCTTCAAGTTCTTGCCCTAACTTTGGAACTCATAAATACTATGAAAAAGTTGGAAAAAACAAATAAAACACATAACAGATTCAGCAGAGTAGTTACTTAAAAACCTTCGAGACTAAAATTTGGTTTGGGATTTGAAATACTAGAAATCCTGGCTTTTAAAATCAAGTGTACAAAATGAAACAGCACCATTTGCAATGACGTGGATGGAGCTGGAGTGTATTATGCTGAGCAAAATCAGTCAGAGAAAGACAAATGCCGTATTTTACTCATATGTGGAATTTTAGAAACAAAACGAACAAGGCGGGGGTGAAGAGGGATAAACCAAGAAACAGACTCTTAAATACAGAGAACAAACGGATGGTCCCCAAGGGGAGGGGGGGGATGGGTGAAATAGGTGATGGGGATTAAAGGAGGGCACTTGTGATGAGCACTGGGTGGTGTACAAAGTGCTGAATCACTATATTGTACACCTGAAACTAATATTACACTGTAGGTTAACTAACTGGAATTTAAATAAAAACTTAAAAAAATAAAATGATGCAGCAGACCAAGGGTCCCCAAAACAAAAAAACATGTAATCAGGAGCACCTTGCTGGCTCAGTTGGAGGAGCATGCAACTCTTGACCTTGGGATTGTTGAGTTCAAGCCCCATGTCGGGCCTAGCACTTACTTTAAAAAATAAACTGATTAAATTTTTAAAAAATCAGGGAAACGATCAAACAGAATTTTTAATTGGCCATTTGTATCAAATTTACATCAAAAAATTTTAAGTGCAGGGCACCTGGGTGGCTCAGTTGGTTAAATGTCCAGTTCTTGATTTCGGCACAGGTCAAGATCTCAGGGTGGTGAGTTCAGCCCCATGTCTGGCGCTGCACTGAGTGTGGTGCCTGCTTCAGATTCTCGCTCCCTCTCCCTCTGCCCTTCCCCCCACACTCACTCGCTCACACACTCTCTCTCAAATAAATAAATCTCAAAAATAAATTTTAAGTGCATATGCTTTCAATCAGTAATTCCATTTCTAAGGATTATCTAATGATAGCTGGAAAAAATGAAAAAAGAGATACATACAAGGATGCTCATTTGAACTGTTAAAGTAGACCAAGGAATATTTATATAAAAAAACACTATGTGGCAATTAAAAATTATGGGGCTCTTTATTTGTCTTAGAACAATCAATGTCCATTCTTTATTAGGTGAAAACTAAAAGCAGCAACTGACCATGTGACTATGTTTAGGGGTTATGGGGAAGGTGGTAGGAAAGGATGGGTGACTTTTTTTTTTCCATAAAGATTTTATTTATTTATTTACTTACTTACTTTAGAGAGAGAGCGTGGGAGACATGCATGAGTGGGGGTGGGGGGGTGGGGATGAGAAGCAGCCCGGAGGGAGAAGGAGGGGCAAAGAATCTCAAGCAGACACCGTGCTGAGCACAGAGCCTGACATGGGGCTCAATCTCATGACCCTGAGATCATGACCTGAGCTGAAACCAAGAGATGGATGCTCAATTGAGCCACTGAGGCACCCCAGGTGACTTGGTTTTTAAGAGAAATTGCAATTACTACTATTAACTACTGCTACTACTAATGATAATGACTAATATGTATATTTATCATATGCTAGGCACCACCTAAGTACTTCGCATGCAAAAGCTAATTTAATCCCTCCCTTTAAAACAAAACAAAACAAACCTCCTAGTTTTATTCCCATTTTACAGGTGAAGAATACTGAGGCACAGCGCATTTAAATAACCTAAGGTCACAGACTAATAAGAATTCTAATCTTATTTAATCGGGATTTAAAGCTCATTCTTGGGGCACCTGGGTGGCTCAGTCGTTAAGCGTCTGTCTTCGGCTCGAGTCATGATCCCAGGGTCCTGGGATCGAGCCCCGCATAGGGCTCCCTGCTAGGTGGGAAGCCTGCTTCTCCCTCTCCCACTCCCCCGCTTGTGTTCCCTCTCTCGCTGTCTCTCTCTGTGTCATATAAATAAATAAAATCCTACAAAAAAATAAAATAGAACTCATTCCCTTAGCCATTTTATTAAACTGCTCTTCATGCATATACATACATCCTTTCTGAGTAGTTGCCACAAGCAAGTCAGATACTTTATTTTTTTTTAAGATTTTTTATTTATTTATTTGACAGAGAGAGACACAGCGAGAGAGGGAACACAAGCAGAGGGAGTGGGAGAGGGAGAAGCAGGCTTCCCGCAGAGCAGGGAGCCCGATGTGGGACTCGATCCCAGGACCCTGGATCATGACCTGAGCTGAAGGCAGACGCTTAACGACTGAGCCACCCAGGCGTCCCAAGTCAGATATTTTAAAAGGTGGGAGTAAGCTGAAAAAACACTTTCCTAAGTCTTAATTAATTAGGTAAGCCACAGAGAACGAGTACACAAGAGAGGTAAATAAACTGAACAGAAGGCTATTCTTAGGACCTCTTTTTCCCCACAAGACTTTGGGTCACAACCTACTGCTGTTACAGGACCCTTTACTTGTTCTCTGAACTCTCCAAGGAAGAGTAAACTGGGGCCAGTGACAATGACATATCAATCCTTAAGAATCACCTTAGGTAAGGACTTTCCAAAGTGACTTCTTGGAGCGCCTGAGTGGCTCAGGCGGTTAAGTGTGCCTTCAGCTCAGGTCATGATCCCAGGGTCCCAGGATCTAGCCCTGCTTCTGG